TAGCTGGTAAGCTGGTTAGAATCGGGAATTAGTTGACTAAAACTTGAGCACATAAGACAATTAGTCACACCGCTAGACTTAAAATTGGAGCGAATTCTCATAGTGTTGCATGTGCTACTGAAAAGATTTATCAGGAGTGTATTTATAGACGTTCATCGGCACAAAAATATCAAGCATCAAGGAGATCGATTTGATGTCAGAGAAAGCAAATGATTTAGCATTGTGTCGATACATGGGAGACGTGAAAGGAATGCAAAGAAACGCAGTATGTGGGAAGGCGATAAGTAGCACAACAGGGAAGATTCGTGCAAATTGTGCGTTGAAGATAAAGTGCACATAATTTGACTACAAGGCGATACCGAATTGCAAAAATACATTCCTTTATCAAGTCTTTCGTCTTCTACCGTCACGATAGGTAATACTGACTCCAGACAATTAAGATCCCATGGCTGGCTGCTCTCGAGGAAGGATACTTACGGAGCTTCTTGCGGGACTTTTAGGCCGTCGCTGAGCTTGTGAGTGTCAGTAATCTAACGGCAAAGGTGGTCGTTCTGGGGACTGCTGAGAGGTCATCCAGAGGTGGTGTATTGCGGTGTGGAGCGATCGTGTGAGACAGACACCTGTAAGATATTGGTTGGATGATTGTTAGCAGAGTTTGACAACTCGACGTACAGCAGCTGGCGATGCAGCAGTTCCGTGGCGCAAAGATAGTACCGGATGAAGACTCGCTAGTGTTGGCGGCGATGCCGACAAATTTTATCAGGAGCACACGCCACAACAGTGTCTGTCTAAATCTGCCTGTGGAGACCTCTGGTCATGTAGCATACAACAGTTATCATATTACAGCCTGGTTTTTCGATAGTAATGCCTAACAAATATTGATAAGGACGTGAATATGAGTTGAACATCATGCTGAGGAGACCATCGAGTAATATCACATGCCAGCAGACACACGAGTGAAACTCGAAATAGAAGTGATGGGTTGGGTATTCGATGGTGAAATAGTAGAGGCCATGTGACGTGGAAAAGAAATCCTGTATGCAGTCATGGTGAAAGTTGAAATTCATGCCAGAGAACCATGTGCATGAAAGATGTTTTGCTGAATCCTTAAGTTTCACTCAAAACGGAAATACGTAGTAATAATTTCTGGCCATAGATTTAAAATAGAATAGAAACCAGCTAACTAATTATTATAAAACGTACTTGAGGGAAACCGAGCTATTTTTTCTATCGATAATTTTAAAGGATTTTTGCGATGTCCACCTCATGGTCTGTATCAAGGAAATGCCTGTCACTTTCACTATTTAAAGCTGTAATTCTCTTGAGACGTAGACGTTTCGGTACATGTTCAGAAAATCAGAGGTGTGCCGTTCTTCTTTCTTTTCTCCCAATGTAACCGCTATTGCATACATAGTTGGAGTTAACATGAGAAAGGTATCTGTCGACTTTTGATTCCAGGAAAGAAGGGCATGTTGTCCTATAGACAGGAACCAACTTAGCTGCAGGATAGATTCTGCCTAGTGACGTAGTCAATCTTCTGTTGATATTTGAACCTCCACATTATCCATACTTGTTAGTAAATCTCTTAGGATAACCGTTCGTTGTCTAACATGCCCTTGAGAATCAGAGATTCATCCCCTAATTTTTCTGTAGAGTATATTCTCCTCATTCTATATGGTTTAAAGAAGTCTAGGCGTACACATCACCAAAAGCATTTTCATCAGCCTGCTTGAGAATTTTATCACCATCTGCTTTTGCTGGCTTCGTAATGTAGGTCAAATAGCGTACTAGAAAGAGACAGTTAGTATCAAGGAGTTTCACCAGACAATGAACTGACCAACAAGTATGTTGCAGGAAGTGGAGATAGATGGAGTACATGTTGAGAAATCTGTTAGTTGATATCACATACCAGTAAAGTTGTCGATTGGAGCCCAAATGGGAAACGAAGAGTTGGGCAAGAGTCCTCCATGGAGGGGAAAACGAGAACTTATGGGTAATTATCAGGTCATTTAGAGAAGACTGAAGATAATGGGATTAAATGGAGTCCTGATTTACACTCAGAATCCGAGGGAATAATAATAGTTGAAAACATTTATTTCCCGATACGAATTTAAAACAAGCAATAAAGGTTAATAAAGCAGGATTTAATGAATTCATCAAATTTCGGTAGAACTCGTCAGCTGAATACTCTACATGCACGGATATATATACTTTTGAAATCACATTGGGAGATATAAGACTGATAAGAACAAACAAACTACATTGAATTAATCATGCAGAAAGACAAGTGTGTGTGAATGTTTTCCAGGTCAAATAGATAAGGGGAGAGAGAGAGTATGAGAGATCAAAATTAAGATAAATTGCATTACGCTTCAATTACATCACTTAGATAAATAATTAGTCATTAGGGAATATAACGAGAATTGCAAACAGACTAATATCAATAGTAATAGTTATAATAACAATTTTAATAGTGTTGAAGTGAGTTAAGATAATCTTACGGATAAAGCTTAGATTTAAATGAAACAAAAATAATAATAATGATAGTAATAATAACAAAAATAATAATAATAAGAGGTAGAATAATAGTAATAACAAGTAGAGAATAATAAGTAGAGCGTATTACCATGGTAGATTCAGAGTGACGACCATCTCCTTTTGTATACAGAGGGCTGGTTTGTAAATTCGAATTGCACAAGCCTCTGCAACGGCAAGCATCTTCTTGTTTCTTTGTTTGCTGACGATGGTGAATGACTTGACGGCGTCGATATCATGTCCGTAATCCACGAGATGTAGTATAAAATGATATCATCATTCTATTTCAAAACTTCTCATCAGCTGCAAACCACTACCTGAAATTACAATGGTTATAAATAATAACATGTCATACTTTGATGTTTGAAAGGTAATAGACAAAACATTAGATGATGAAGGCATCCGGAATATAAGTATTACAAATATTTTTGGTTTAAATTACCATCAATTTATATGCTATTGAACTGTGAAAAAAATGGGGGGACGGGGTGAGAGAAGACAGAAAACAGAAAAATTTAATAAACAGTGTTAACTTGTACCTCAACATTTCAGCTCAAAAAGGTTAAAGTTTATCAAATTGGAAACTTGCTCAGTGAGCTGAGCTCACTAGTGTGTGTATGACTAATCAGTGTAATGAAAGCAATGCGATTGATTACCAAAGAAGTGAGAGATTGACTACGCTCTCTCTGTCTGTGTGCATAAGTTTGGTCTGAGACGTTTGATTGCAATCGCTTCAGCGAATTGTAGTGGATTCACTGTCCTTTGTATGTTCAATATTTTGAAGGATTTAGAAATCTCGACAAAATGACCCGTATCCACAAGGTGTCTGTTTGGTAATTGTACCTTGTAAATATCTGCTTCCTTTTAAGCATAAGTTTCTCGGAATATGCTCTGAAAACAGCGAATAGAAACCCTTCTTTCTATCCTTTCAGTGTACTTGCTGCTGCAGTTGCACGTACATTTATAAGTGCAGTTGGAGGTAACTTCATCAGGCTACTTGACCAGTTTCGAGTGACTTATAGAGCGTGTAGTGCTTGCCGTATAAGTATCACCAACTTAGCTGCAGGGAAGCATCTGTTTTTCAATCTTTTGCGATACTGTTTCTCCTTTGTATGGGAGGCAAATGAACACTTTCTTCTTTTCAACTGTTTGATACTTCTCTTTGTCATCTCCTTCGTTGCTGTACTTTAGGATTTTTCAAAAAAGCCTAATTCTTCTTCTACCTTGTTTTTTTTTGTTTTTTCCTTCACGTTCCCAATGGAACTTAGGGCTTCAAGTTAGTAGCTTGAAGTTTCTCTAGCAGTGTTTACTTTTACAGGATAGAGTTGCTAGCCCCACCACCTCGCGGCCTGTTTGAATTTTTGGGCCAGCTATTATAATTATAATATCTATTATATAATGCCCAACCTTCCCTCTTTACAAGCATTATTATTATTATTAGCGAGGTAAAGGAGTGCGTTGGTCGTCCGGGGATCGAACCCCGGACCATGTGCATGGTCGACAAGCATCCGAACTGTTGCGCCACCGACATCCATTCTACCTTGTTAGGCGAACATAACTTGCTGATCGTCTTTTCATCCTCACTATCAGTTTTATTATTATTATTATTATTGTTTGCGTTACCTGGACACAACAAGATCATCAATTTATCCATACATATACTTAGACACATACATTCTTGTAAAACAATTGAAAATTAGCATATAAGGTAATAAATAATATTTATTTACTTATGCGTGTACACATGTAGACCTAGGTGAACAATGAGAAATAAAATTCTAACAGATTACACAGGCAAACATAAATATAGGTAGATATATATATATATATATATATATATATATATATATATACATATACACATATCTCAAAAATCGATAAAAACTGGTTTTTTGAATTCTGCTTACCTATTGCCTTTCGATTACACTCACTCACTAACAAAGTCATTAATTAACACACTGAAATACGCGTTCATACACTCTAGATTACTAATATTACTAATACTATTACTATCCTCACTATCTTACCAACAAAGGACATACAACTCAAATGACCTCGTTCGTACCTGATGATTTCGGCAAAATTATCAATTGAAGGATATACATTTCTATGACCTTTGAGGCAAAAGAAAAGAATATATATATACATATGTATATGGAAATAATCAACATAAAAGTCAGAAAGGGGAAATAATCATGTTTACAAGCAGAAAATAATTCTTAATTAACTAATTAATTAATTGGTTTATAAATTGAATACTACTAAGAACAATTACAATTGTTATTATTGGGAATAGCAGTTATACCTGTAAAAAATTCACTTGCCTATTCAAAACATACACTATAAAGTAGTGAAAAGAAAAAGGATTTACAAAATTGGAAGACATTGTTTCACATTAATCTGGACTATTCGTTGAAGAATCAGCACTAATCAATAATTATTATCATTATTATTGTTTGACAAATATGGGATGTGGGGCAAGTGGATTAAAAGAGACTAAATCAGGTGAGTAAATACTAGTTTTTGTAATCAATATTATTACTACTATTATGATTCTCTTGGATAACAAATGGAACATAGGTTAGCAGTCTTCTTTACCTAGTTTCACCTTACCTTCTGACGTAAAAGTCATCGCTTTCAATTCGAGTTTCACTTGATAGCTTGTGTGATGAATGGATTTATGTAACGGTCACCTTAGTGTACATCCAGAATGTTTTCTTCTTGCTTTTTTTAACCTTCCTAGTCGGAAATTTGATCTTGACTAGGAGGTCGACTACAATGGCAGCTGTGGATGAAAGCCTCAAATTCCTGTGACGGTGTTGATACTACGAATGTTGTTCTTTATGCAGAGTGCTGTGGATTTTTTAGACAAATTTATAGCTGGCTTTAAAGTCTTCATCTGTGCTGCTGGTATTCGAAGTAGGTGATTTGTTTTCACTTTCCCTAATTGACGGCGATTGGTGCTAGTTGTTGCTGTCATTTTTATTGACTTGATAACTTTGTTACCTCAGTCTTCCTTGTGTTCAAGTGAAATTCTGTCTTTGCTGACGACTAATTGCTTTTCATCTGTGGATCTTTGAGTTTATATGACATTAGACATAAGTCATCACCGAAGTTCAGATTTTCTAGTTTTTTTGTAGGCCTTTCCGCTCCCCATAGTCTGCCACTTGTTCCAATCCACTACAATTAGGTATAAAATCGGTGATAGTGGATAGGATTTGCATTTCTGTTCCTTTATTTGTTTTACACACGGTGCCATAGTAGCTCTATAGGTCGACTCTGATATCGATTCAATGAGTGTATGTATCCCTTTCGTCTACTTCGCGCTCACCTTCCACTGGAGAGCCTGTCGCTCGGTGTCACTTAACAGTCTCCCCAACATGTGTCCAATACATCTTCATTTCTTCAGCATATTTGTTAGGCTATGAGTTCTTAGTTGGTTCATTGCGCTAATTCTTTCTGGCTATTTGATCTTCAGTATGGAGGCGACCAGAGAAGGAGGCAACTGCACTGATGAAAGTCTGTAGTTGCCCTTTTTGGAAATACAGTTCCTGATGTGTGGACTAAGTCTCTGAACAACTGACCTGAAATTAACTCTAAAAAATCGAGTCACTGTTCGTTATACTGAGTGCGGTAGATTTTCTTATTGATTTCTCAGTAATGAAGGTTTGTCCTGATGTTTTGACCACGTCCGACTTTGACATCGTCATGAGTGCCGCCTGCAGTTGAAACAATACTTTCATAGTGTGTGAAAAGGGGTTACTTCCTAAAAATTTCCCCCGTTGATAGTGATGGGTGCCTTTTATTGTCGTTGTTGTTGTTGTTATTGTAGCTGTTGGTTAAGTGTATTCATCCCCTATGTTTTTATTTATGTTCACCTTTTTTTCTGTCGATTTGCTGGCCTTCGGCAACCACCTTCTTTCTCATCGGAAAATCAATCAGATATTTGCGGAAACTTCTCTACGAATGTCTTATGAGTGTTACTTTTAAGGTTTTTTTTAAATATTCTATCTACTCACTTAGTGTATCTAATATTCGCAGAAAATATAGAAGTATTAATGGTGTCTGTTGACGTTATCGATTGTATTTGAGTTGCCTAGACACAGAGTTATTAAAACTAAAGGAATAGTAGAATCCAATGAATATGCACTGAAGGAACACTTGGTGACAATGGAATAAAGTTGACGCAAACTCTGGTTGCCATAATAATAATTATTATTATCCAGAGAAGCTATTCAGGCGACATGAAGTCGTCAGAACACCAAGACCCATCCTCCAACTCACCGCTAAGAAAAACGCTTACATCAAGCTTCAATATATGGGTGATTATAGCAGCTTTGCAACTCGCCAGTGATTGAATACTGTGGTTAAAAAAAATATATCATAATAATTGAGCATATCCATCTAAGCCCTTAGAACATGAGAAAAAAGGTGTTATATATCACTGTATTTACTAATTTGAATGTACGTTTGACCACACATACATAAGGAGGACTCATCCACCTCTGCAATTAAAGGGTGGCTTCAGAAGAGAAAGAATCCTCAGAACCCATTATTGGTGGGAACAGAAGACCTAACTCCTCTCTTGTGAAACATATTACAGAGGAGACAGGACATAAAATTGATGTTTACACATGTCTTTTACACCTGTCTATAGAATGTGTTTGATGAAGAGCATATCGTAAAGTTTATGGAAGCCCTAGTTAGCAATTAGTACTTTTATGCGTCCAAAGCAACAATTCGTCATCAGACTAAGCCTCCTTCCTTATTAATTTTTGTTTCGATGCCAGCCAGGGTGGATGTACTATTACCTCTGTTATTTGGTTTAGCGATCTTTATGTCCTTTTCACTTGACCTAACTTGTCTGTTTTCTTCCTTGTTAACTCTTTATTAATTTCGTATATATATACATATTCCTATGACAAGTCCGTGTGTGATCAGACTGTTCGAAATGGGTTGCGCAAACACAACATTACATGATTCTGAAAAAAATCACATCTTATTACTTTGTCTAGAAGACTATGAGAAATCGGCTTTCGTCGCTGAGATGATGAGCGTACATTGACCCTCGATTTTGGTGGAATCCTAATCTGATTAGTTGTCAACTTTTAACAGTTATTGTTCATATTTTATAGCCTACATTCAATGACAGCATATGGTTAAATACATGATTACTAAGTGTGATAATTTTGCGAGTCGGCATAAGTCACACATCAATAAATTTCCAATATTCTAACATTTATCCACGGATTTTCAACACCGATGTCAAGTCATTCCTTCTGTACAAGTCAGAAACTTGACCAGTCTGTCAGGAAAAGGATTTTCAACACGAAGCTGCAGACTTTCATCAACAGTTGCCTTCTCTGGCTTCATACTGAAGATCAAATGGCCAGAAACTATGGGAACAAACCAACTGAGCAAGAGCCGATCGCTCAATAAATATGTAGAAGAAAGTGGAAATGGATCGGTTGGGCATACATTGAGAAGGCCATCGAATGACATCGCAAGCAATACAGGCCGTTGCTCGAGTGGAATCTTAATGGGAAGCGACGGGTCGGTCAGCGGTGCGAGTGTGACATGGAGGAGATCGTTTGAGGAAGAGATGAGAGAGTTTGGTCAGTCGTGTCCTCCAGGATGGTAGAGAGTAGAACAAAGTGAAGATGTGTTGTTTAAGTCCTATGTTCCCCTCGGAACCCAAGGGAATTATTAATAAATAAGTAATATCTACAGTGTGTCCCAAACTTTTATCAATCTCATTCAGCAACTATGTGGAAAGCCCATGTGTCAGGTGATTCATAGCGAAAAAAGCGCATTGAAGCCTTTGAAGTAGAGGCAAAAGTATCACAAGACTGCCTGGTATCACCGACGATAATTTTGATTGTGGTGGGCTATCTCCTACAGTATATCGTCGGGCTAACGAAAAGACACTAGAATATTTGAAATTAGTGGATGATTTATGTCTAGTGTCAGACAAACTTGAAGGTCTACAGATGAAAATGAACAAGTTGGAATAGGAAGAGGGGGCATCAAAGACGGAACTTCAAGTGAGCATAGACAAGACCGTGGTGATGAAGATAACCAACAGCAACAAGGACCACACACCTTCAACGGGAGAACTTTGAAGTAGATCAGCTGCAGGAAACGCGTATGAAGACGTTAATGCCAGGCGGCATCCGAAAAGCAATACGGATCTTTATTATTCTAAAATCAGTGTGGAAGTCCATTGCAGTAATCGTAAGAGAAAACATCGGGAACTCATGTGCAGTCGTGAAATCAGATAGAAGGATTGCAGAGAACAGATTACAGTACAGGTGTGCTGATGATGAAGCCCTATGTTCCCCTCGGAACTCAGGGGAATAATACTAATGATAAAGGATTTCACAATGTATCTTTGAAATGCGATGGAAATGCCCCAACTTTTTTCTTTTCATGTTATGCATAAGGTAATGAGGAAATCGTCAGTTAGTCTGCGGGATAAACGTGGTTGCAGTATGTGTAGGATTAAACAATGCAACGTTTTTATTAGCTGACAATATGAGTCAAATTAGACTTAATTAAGAAGCCATCTCTCACTGAATGAACTAATCGTCAGCATAATTCAGTTGTGTAGAAACATGTAGACTATTATGAATTTCAATTCAATGAAGTTAAGTTCAAAATAGGGACTTCCTCGCGCATAGATTAGACGCATTCATATTTAACAGGGTGGGTCGGTGGCACAGTGGTAGAGTGCTCACTGTGGTCCGGGATTCGATCCCCATCCACCGGAGCATTCCTCCTTCACCTCGCTGAGCCAGTAGAAAGACTAGTAAAGATTGAAGGAAGGTTAGGCATGAGACCAGCAACGCCATCCCGTAAAAATAATCACCACTCCTACAGAAACACTTCAAGCCTCTAGCTTGAAGCCCTCGCTATGTTCCACTGGGAACTTAAAGGAATAACAAAAAATATTTAACAGACCAAAAATACCCATTAAATTTTTTCAAAAGAATGGTTAATGAATCAAGAATATTCTTTTTGATAACCTGCTCTTCTTCATCAGATTCTGCATTCACATATGCATAACAATTAACGAATTAGTGTTGTTTACGACATTATTGTTGTTTAAATAACGTCAAATCAATAATAATTATATCAACGGATTACATACAGTTCGATAGAATAAACATAACACTGCACTACAGTGGATATTAGAGAAATTAGGAGAAATAATAATACAAATTCATGAATTTTTAGTCTTTACTGAAGTTCGGCCAGGACAGTAGTGGTGGCTGCCTGAACTTGTTTCTCCAACACACAGAGCACCGATTGTTTGAGATAGGTCACGATAGCCTCTGCTATTTCGGAGTATGTGGTACCTGCATGTTTTTTTTTCTGGGAATTTGTTTAGTACCCAGTAGATAATGATGGAGAAGGATTCTTCAATGCTAGCTGCCTTTGTGGCTGGTTTGAACTAGGTGGTCTTAAAAATCGAACTGTTGATGATAGTTTTGCACTACGACTTT